CCTTCTGCCAACTCAAGCTCTGCAGTGCCAAGCCTGAAGAAGGGTCTGGTTGAAATCCAGAGCTTGCCTATACTTAACACTTCAGTGGACTGACAAAGGTACTGTAATGCTTTGTTTGGGCATTTTGTACCAGGGTGATACTTTTTTTCATAACACTATAGTGTTGCTGGTAAATTCACCTCTTCTTCCCACACTGTGAAGGTTGCGGCTAAAATCAAAGGGAAGCTTCCTTGGCCGTGCTGGCAGACCACATCATTGAATCCCTGCTTATCTAAAAACCTTTGTGCTTCAGTTCTGTGAATCTATTTCCATTAGGCCACTGCTGCTAAGATTCAAGCCTTTCCTGGATCCTGGGGCTTCCCTGCACCACCAGTGACCCTGGGGTGCCATCAGATCTGGACAGACCCATCCCAGTACTACAAATGCCCACAAAGGACTCTGGAACTCCCTCCCACAGCATGGCAGGCTGGTTCCTTCTTAGCTGTCCTTCCACAAGTAGACAATGGCCTTTCCCTTCAAGCAAGCTTTCCCTTAATGGCTGGCTGCCTGAGTGGTTTTTTTTTTTAACGGGTTGTTGTACCTTACTGCTTTGCATGTTTTTTTGTGTTGCTTTTGTTTTCTGTCTTTTAGTGTTTGATCTTTGTTTGATTCTTTTTAGTATTGCTAGACTTATTTTTATCTTTAAATTTTGCCTTTTAATGAAGTAAGCTGCCTTTGGGTCTTCTTAAGGAGAAAGATGGGGTAAAATATTTTAAATAAATAAAATAAATTACTGTATGTATTTCACCTCAGAGGGGGCTATATGGGAGCAGAAGAAATGGCAGGCCAAGCAGGTCATCAGGTCTAAGCAAGTTCCAGGCTTGGAGTCACCTGAGGAAAAGAGGGAAGTGCATGTATGAGAAATTCTTCCGGATCATGACCTGGCTGAGAGTCAGGAAGGGGTAGAGTCTGCAGCTCTCCTCTGATCTTATGGCCTGTCCAGAAGGTCAGATGGATTGCTGTTTGGATCACTGTTAGTATGGTTTGGTTTGAACCGAATGATAGCGTCCACGTGTTTCCACATAGATAGATCCATCCAGCCTACTTAAGAGCTGTCACACACCTTTCTGGAACAGGTCTAGGGCATGTATTCTTTTTGGTGTGATTCAAATTAGCTCCTTGTGTAGCCTGTGCAGACCCTTAGCTTGGACCCAAATGGCGCTGTGAGTGGTGTTCACTGTGGAGAAGGAGCAAAACAGCTCCTATGAGATCACTGTAGCAAGGGAAAATGTGTGTGTGGGAGAAGTGAGTGAGAAAAATTCACTTGTTGGCCACTCTCTGCATTGGAAAGAGGTGATCAGAGAGATTCCTGGTGTTTTGATATGCCATTGACTTCGTTTAAATCAGAACAACAATAAAAGGAAAGCCACAGTGATTGATGGCCACAGGGAAAAGGCCAGGAAGGCAGCTATGTTGACTCCATGGAATCTGCACCCGCAAGGCAGCGCTGCTCCAGCAGAGCCTAGGCTGAATAGAAAGGCGAGGGGTGGGGGAGTTACCTGCTTTGCATCTCCCCAGCCTTCACCCCATTGTTTTCCTCTTGGGCTGCACTGTCCTCAGCAGCTATTGCTGCGAGTAAAATGTGATAAACGTTGTTGTTGTTGTTTAGTGGTTAAGTCGTGTCGGACTCTGTGTGATCCCATGAACCACAGCACGCCAGGCCTTCCTGTCTTCCATTGCCTCCCGGAGTTTGGGTCAAAGTCATGTTGGTCGCTTCGATGACATCGTCCAACCATCTCATCCTCTGTCGTCCCCTTCTCCTCTTGCCTTCACACTTTTCCCAACATCAGGGTCTTTTCCAGGGAGTCTTCTCTTCTCATGAGATAAACTTACATGTAAGTAAACTGGGTAAGCTCTCTCATGTCCGCCCTGGGTGAGGGGGGGGGAGCCCCTGCTGTTGGATCCAAACGGTGCAGCAGGTTGTTTTTGTAACAACGGCTTCCTACCGGGATTGGCGGCCCCATCGCCCGATGGGCAGGCACGCGGAGAATTCCCTCTACCAGTTTAAACCAGCGACACCTCCCCATTTGCCGCTTCGGAGGCGGAGTGTGTGTGTGCGTGCGTGCAGGAAACACAACCGAAATCTTATAACGTGATTGTGTTACAAAATCCAGGCCAAATCTCATTCTGAATTGGAGGCGAGTGGGGTCATTTTCGATACACCCTTCACTATCAAAAAACCCAAAAAAGACAGGAAGGTGGCGTTTCGCCTTTTAGTTTTCTTAACACGGGTATGGAACCAATTTGGAAGGTTTTCTTTAACAACCCGATTCTCCCTGCACAATATGTGGTACTGTAAGGACTAACAGATTTCGGCGTGAGGGTCAGTGGATTACAGTTCAGCACCTCAGCCACAACTGCAGCCACTCACATGGCACCGAAATAACCGTTTTTCTTCACGGTGCCGCCGCTCTCTTTTCTTTTTTATCTGCGTTAGATACGCGGAAAGGACGGGTGCGCTTATCTCGTTGCCCGCCAGTCCCCCTGTGGACTCGGCGCCCTCGGTTCCTCGCCTCAGGATTCCCAGGGCAGGGCAGGACTGGCCCGCCCCTCCTCTTCCCACCC